CACCGTGATGGCGAGGGCCTTCTCATAAAACGCAATCACTCTGTCGTACTCGCCCTTGTTCCTGTAGACGATTCCGAGATTGTTGTACGTGTCAGCTGTGCTCGGGTGCTTCTCACCCAACGTCTCCACCTTGATGGCGAGGGCCTTCTCGAAGTGTTCAATCGCCTTGTCGGACTCGCCCTTGTCGTAGTAGGCGCCGCCGAGGTTGTTGTACGTGTTGGCTGTGCTCGGGTGCTTCTCGCCCAGCGTCTCCACTCTGATGGCGAGCGCCTGTTCATAGCACTCAATCGCCCTGTCGTACTCCCCCTTGCTGTCGTAGGCGTTGCCGAGGTTGTTGTAGGCGTCGGCTGTGCTCGGGTGCTTCTCGCCCGACGTCTCCACCGTGATGGCGAGGTCCTTCTCGTAGTAGTGGATGGCTCTGTCGTACTCGCCCTTGTTCTCGTAGGCGTTGCCGTGGTTGCCGTACAATGCCGCCACGCCCTCTCCTTTCTCCCCTTCGGTTCGCAGGTAAATCGGCAGTGCAGCTTCGTAGTAGACAATGGCGCGATCGTGTTCACCAAACTCGCTCAGCACCGCCCCCACGGTGTGGCACAAGTGCGCGAAGGCGTCAGTGCTGTCCTCGCCTCGTGCCCGCATTGCTTCGACGGCACCCACCGCCTTTTGCAGGCACCACGCGCGCAGCTGGTCTTTCACGGCCTGGTTTACTGCGCTGAAGCCACCCGCCCACGACTCGATCGCCGTGAAGATCATGTCCTTGTCTCGTGGGTTGAAGGCGTCGGCTCGCTCTGCCTGCACGCGCACCAGCGTGTCGGTCACTGCTTTATAGTCATCGCGAATGGCGTTTTCGAGCGCCTGTTCTTCGCTGTTGGGTAGTTGGATGGTGACCTCTGTGCCCTCGTTGCTGATGCCACAGAAGATCTCCCACAAACACCACGCGCGTGTCAAGGGAACAGGGTCTCGCCACGGCATGAGCACCAGCAGCACATGGCCAATGTTGGCAATCGACTGCTTGAACGTCGTGCTCCACCTGGGTGTACGGTGTTGAGAAAGGGAAAGGGGAGAGGAAAAGGATGAAGGGAAGAGGAAGACAGGGAGGAAAGGGGGAGGGGTTGTAGTTCTTGTGAGGGAACAGTGTGCGTGTGTCTGTGTGCGTGTGTGGGTGGTTGTTGAAGAGCGCAAGACACACACACACACACACACACACACACACACACACACACACACACACACACACACACACACACACA